TGGCTGAGTCAGCATCAGACTGCTTAGCAAAACCACCTACACTTTCGTCCCACCATGTTAACACGTGTACTAACGTTTGCATTATATATGCAATGAAATAGCATACACGCCTAGACATGACGCCCCATCGAAGTTACACTGACAGAAAACGGCCTAGAGACAGGTCCCAAAATATAAGCTGCATACCGTGATTTGATAACTGGGAGCAAGATTAGAAAGCCGATAAATACAAAAAAGCAACCAACGACACGAAGGATTGAATGCGGAAGTCATGGTTTTTGACTAGGGCAAGAGCAGGAAAATCCCCAAAATAAGACAATGCTTGTTTGGCCTCGCACCTTACACGACTCATGAGCGTCATCCGTATTGAACATTAATGTAGGCTAAAGCAAATAGACACCCAAGCATCACAGGATAAGGATGCGAGTTGGTAAATAGGCACCTGCTCACTCAATCATACCAAACTCATACAATAACCAGCTTGTAAGCATGGAAGCGAATCTATTCTGGGGTGTGCCATAGCAGACGGCCAGTATCGTCGAATTGATGTCCTAAGCCTGAGCTTGTATGCAATGAGGGCGTGCAAGATGTGGAGCTGAACTACGATTAATCGAGGTCGTAGAGTGACTAGCCACAGCTAAGAGGCAACGACCCCTTGGCTTGTAATGTCAATTTGCGGGCCCCACACAGCCAGCTTATTTTTCGACGATAATCTAAAACGGTTTCAATACCACCTGCAGATAGATGTCCAAATCTTCGCCATCCTTATGATCTAACATCTACTATTTTCGGAGTTAGACCCGATTACACAGAACCAGACACAAAGTGTCTCTAAATGATTCATACTTTCCATCAAACGTTATCTAAGCCCATTGAATAGTCCGCACCTGCCGTAAACAGAAGGCAGAAAAGTGTACTCACTGAGACTCGAACTCGGAGAAATCAGAATTGATATGCCTTTAGTAGTTCCGAATGCGCAACGCAAATTGTTATCTGCTGCAAGATAAATTGACTTGGTCCATCGGTTTCAACGGACGCACCCGAATGGTTGCGTCGATAGCAAACAGGGCTAAGCAACAAACACCCAATGCCTATTACCTAGGCGTTTGTTGGACGAATCGCAGATTGACAAATACATCAATGAATAATGAAATAGCCGAGCCTCATTTAATGCATAACACAGAAATGCAGAGTCGATAAGGAAAACTGATGCGAAATGATAAACAAACAACCGGGCAAATGACAAGTTCGAGTGCTAGTAGCCAACGCGAGCCCCAGGTATGAATAATTATGATTACCACTGCCGCAGCAAATCTCGGCAAAAGTATCTAAGCGAACACTGAAATGGAAATCAAAAATCGAAGAGGGGGCTGAGTAGTCTTTTCGGAGACTGGTAGAATGATCGCCATCTTGCATTGGGAAACTACACACCATCAGGGGAGCTAATGGATGCCGTGGGCAAAAGCACAAAGGAGCTTCTGAGCGCAACTTCGATTTTCATTATGGCAGCTATATTTAGCATACAAGACAGCTGCCTGATACAGCTACCATTATATTTGGTTGGCCAAGGGACACTAAACGTAACCGCGTTAAGGAAGCAATCCTGCCGCCAGTTCATAATATAATCCTGACATGAGCATAGAAGCTGGCGAAAAGGCAAGCCTCGTAAATATGTAGGGCTTGCGTTATCTTGCTGAGCCCCCTAATCCAGGTCCATCGCCAAAAGTTAGGCCCTTACAGTCGAGATAGAAAAGGAGGTAAGTAGAAAACAAGTTTAAACTATCGAATGAGCCAGGCATTATGCATAAACCGCAGTTCGGAATCATCTTAGAAACCACAAGGCGCAAGATTTGTAATGCTATGGCTACCGAATTGCTCGATGTCTGTGACAAAACAATATCTAGCTCTATCTAGTCCCCCACACTGATACCATCAACATGAAACATCACCTGAGACAATACGCTTAGAAATGTGAATAAACAATGCAACGTTTATTTAAATGGAGAACTCAACAGGATAGGTTCAAGACTTGACGGCATTGATCTGAAAAATCACATTTGATAATTTACAAAAGTCTTACCACATCGTCGATCTTGAGTATACTTCTTACTGTTTCAGCCGCAAGAGAGATAGCATTCGAACTGACTAGCAGAGGTTGCATTACATTCTCAGATAAAATATCGCTGATACATCCTTTGCGGACATTTATCCCGGCATTTACTTCGCCTTCGGCATGTCGGGAGCGCAATTCAGTGACCGTTTTGATCGGATTAAGGCCTGCATTTTCAGCTAATGTATATGGAACGACTTCCATGGCCTCTGCAAAGGCGCGGAAGCAATAGTGGTCGAGACTCGTGATTGTGTTAGCATAGGCACAAAGTTTCTGAGCTACTTCAATTTCAGGAGCCCCTCCCCCGGCAACTATTGCTTTCTGTCGTACAAGGCAACGAATCACGCAAAGGGCGTCATGTAGTGATCTATCAGCTTCATCTAAAACTAACTTATTGGAACCCCGAAGAAGAACAGATACTGTCCTTCCCTTGTTTTGAATACCACTAATTCGGACTACCTTCGAACCCCCGAGGTCGATTTCCTCAGCAAGATCGGAGGAACCCAACGCTTCGGATGAAAAATGATCCAGGCTCGCAATAGGCAAA